TTAATAAACATTTTTCTTATATGGTGATTAGTTTTAAAACGAAGAAATTTACAAAAATATACTCTAAGTAGAAAAAATTTTTAAAATAAAACAATTTTGAATATAAATATAATCTATATATGGTTAAAACAACCATGTGTTCTATATGACACAATATTTTAAAGAATATTATATAAATTTGGATATATTAGATAATTGGTTATATAATAGGTCATAACACTCCATTCTTTTAATTCCTCCCCACTCTCTCAAGATTTGATTTTAAAACCTCCAAATTGGAGCCTCAAGCCCAAATGTCTATATACACCTAATACAAATCCTAGTTTCTTATGTGCATATTTTTAAATCTTAAGTTTTTATATGCACTTACCTTAAATTTCAAATATATTATATACATATTTTAAAATCTCGAGTTTTTATATCCATCAACTCCAGTCTACAAGTAACTAAAATGTAACTTCCCATTGATTTAGGAAAACCTTGTATGCAGTTTATAAATATGCCCATTGATTTTCAAAATATTGTGCTTTGTATTATATCCATGGTATATGGTATGCCATATAGAAAAATCTTGTAGCCCAGTCTTCCCTAAATATGCCATCCAAGTATGAAGGTAGAGATGTATTTACCATCAAACTAAATATAGGGACAAATTGCCCCACTAATTAATTAGATTGGGAAAATGACCACAAATTCAACTGCTGCCATTGTATGACATCAGCTTCCTATTACTTTTTTGCTTACATGGTATTTTTTATCTGCGTTGGTAGTAACGGAAAGCTTATGTGATTTGATATTAACAGTTAAATTTAAAATAATTTGTCCAATTTATATAGTTAGAGGGGTAATTTATTCCCATATTTAGTTTGATGGTAGATTTGTCCTTGCCTCCATACTTAGAGGGTAGATTTTGGGTTTCGGCCAATCTTGTACATGGTTTACAAATATGCCCAATGGTTTTTAAAACATTGTGCGCCGTATGTAAAGCCGCTGCAGTTTTAACCTTACACATAATGCAGTTTTAACCTTACATTATGTGTATAAATATAGCTACTCATTCCTCTGCATAACCATGAAAATATATCTCCCTTTACAGAATTCTTTTGCCTATAGAATAGAGATCATGGAAGAGGAAGCTAATGAAGTTGATGAATCAATCTCAAAGCTAGGTTGTTTCAAAGATCGGATTAGTGATTTACCAGTAAGTATTCTTCTTTACAAGATGTACTTTTCTGCTTTAGTGATTTTGTTGGTTTTTTCATATTGTAATCTCATATCTATCCAAGCAATATTTTTGAGAAATTAAAACATTAAATTTTTCAACAACTGAAAATTCTTTCTAGTCTTTTCAGGAGTTAAGCTTCATATCTATATCATACGCCCGACTTCCCCACTCTCTCCTCAACCGACCAATATTACTCTGAGTGGCTACCTCCTAACATTTATGCGTCACCTCCTAGAACGTCACCGGTCTCAAGTGTCGCTTCAAGAATCTTGCCGTGATTCTATAGGAGTGCCCTAGCTAACTGCAATGGAGTGAACAACAACGATGAAATGGTTCCAACCGTCGGCGGTGATCATTCCAGTGGTCTAGTGGTCAATCCTATGAAGCATATCAAAGAGTGACAAAGTGACGCTCTCGGAGCAAGACAAGGCAAGGAGGGGGCCTGAGCTGCTGAGGAGAAGGCGAAGGTGGTGGACGATGAAGATGATGTGCTGGAGATCCTTAATTAGAGCTTGAACTGCTCTATCTTTAGTCGTTTGATTTGCCATTCTCATATGCAAAATCAGGAGGGAAAACAAGTAGATTTAGGGATGGAAACTAAGATTGAGTTGGATTGTGAAGCAAATATGGAAAGGTCCTAATTTAATTTACTTTAGGTTTCCACTATTCACTTAGGTCTCTAGAAAAAATTTAACTAGGTTACCCTTTTAAATATAAGATATTATTTTTTTTAAAAAGCAATATTTTTCTGTAAAAGGAAAAATTTTCTTTCAAGTTCAAGTAAAATTGAATGCTAAAGAACAAAAATTAGCATATCTTAGCATTTGGCCTTAAACCTCAATGTATGACTAAGGTGTATTGTTTCTGGTAAATCACTAATCCAATTGTTTAAAGGAATAACTTCAAAAAATTATAAAATTATCACCTTCATCTTTATCCATTTGTGTGATCTCTGGGCAAAACCAACTACAAGGTCTAAAAATTAATAAAAGGAAAAAAAATTCTTGGTCTGTTAATTAGAAAAGGCTTAATTCAATAATTAGTCTATTAATTATCAGTTTAATTTCATTTTAGTCTAAAAAGTTTGTTTTCTTTCTAAATGATCTATAAATTTTGAAGAATATTTCAAATTACTCTACCATACAAAGTTTTTTTTTAACTCTAATAGAAAAAAAATAGTACTTTAAGTTTTAAAAAAGTGACATTACAATTTCAATAAATATGATGACTTAAGAAATAATTTATAGGGATAAATTAGTTAAAATTTGTAATAAACTTAAGCAATTAACTCAGTTCAAACAAAGAAACTTAATAAATTTAGAACGAAAGGTTTCAAGAGTAAATTTGTTTTACAAGATAGATTGTATACAGTAAAATTTGTTTTACAAGATAGACTATATACAGTTCGTCATATAAAATTATTTAAATATTTCTAAAAAATAATATAAAAATAAAATTAAGAATATTTAAATAATTTTACAAACAGTCTGCTTGTAAAACAATTTTCTAAAAAACAAATTTAGCAAGATAAGAATAAAAACTATTTTTAGGGTGAATATAAATTTAAGGACTAAAAAATCAAAAGAAATATAATTAGAGTACTAAATGCTTTCTGACAGGATAAGAAGATTTATGTTATTTTTAACAGACTACATAAAATTGAAATAAATATAAAAAATAACAGATATGATTGAAAGAATTCAAAAATAATAGATGAAATTTAAAAAAAAAAATGAAAGTTAATAGATGATTTATTAAATTAAGCCAATTAGAAAATGAAGGTAAATGTGCAAGTCCAGAGGAATTGGGTGTATTTATAAGTGAATTCTACCATTAATACCTTGGCTGCTTGGCATATTTACATTTGGTGAGAAATGCTTTTTTTTTTTTTTTTATACATCTAATTATGGACTATACAAAAGAGAATAACTTCACTTATTCTCAAATCCCTCCCCTCTCAACTCAAGACTCAAACTTGAAACCTCCAATTTTGAGTCTCAAACTCTTAACTGTTGAATTACCTCATTGGAGTTATGAGCAATGATGTTTTGAAGAGTAATGATTCTTTATACCAAAATTTAGGATGAAATTTTGAATTAACATTATTTCAACAACTGATTATGTGGCGTTATATAAGGTCTAGAGCATGATTAATGTCATGTATTTGTCTCAAAATTTAGTTGTAACTATCATTGTTCTTTGAAAAATAAGAGATTCATCTTAATTTTGAATATAAATCAATTCAATAAATGGTTAAAATATATTCTATATATGGTCAAAACAACCACTGCACAATAACTTTAAAATAAATTTATTATACTTAAATGCCTAAAATGTTCAAGAAGTGCGTTCAGAGTCATTTTATCAATTTATTGAGGGTTGAATTAAAATTATGTGATATGACAAACACGTGGACATGGCATGTCATGTTGTAAGCAATGGTCGTAACAAAATTGTTGGTGCTCAATGTAAATAGAGGTTAATGGGCTGCGGTGGGTCCCACTAAAAATTTAGAATTAAAAAAAAATATTGTTTTAAATAAATATAAGTTTCACAATTTACATCCACATAATGGGCAGGTTGCAGCCCATTAATCAAGTTAATAATAGAGTTAATACTAGGTTTTTATTTCTCTCTTTTTTCTTTTTTTCTTTTTTTTAATATCAACAACAAAGGTAATACCAGTGTCAGTGCAGGAATGACAAATAGTAAGCTATTGAGAAGTGGAGGGGTGACATTAGTGTGCTTTTGGAGAGCATAGGGACGACAATGAAAATTTTGGAGGTACGGAACGTAAATACAAAGTACAGGGACTGTAATTGCCTTTAACCCTTAATGGAATTGCATTCCTCTCTCTGTTTTACCTTTGCATTTTCACTATTTTATAATTACTTCCTCCATCTTAGAATGAGCGGCAATTTTATGTTTACAGTATTAGATTGGGAATAATTTATATTTTTATTTATATTATTTTTTTAAAAAAATAAAAATAAAAAAATTTAAATCACGAGATGAATAATTAAAATCAAAAATAATAATAAGATTAAACTAAAAAAATGTCCTTTTTAAAATATGAAAAATAACTATTATACTGTAATAAATTATAAAATAAAAACAATCTATTCATTATGGGACATAAGAGTAGTTTTACATTCTAAGTGTACACAAGTACAATTAATGACCACAAAAATTATTGAACAAACTTTCCTGCAGTTAAATCCTCGCTAAAATTTATAACTTCATTAATAAACATTTTAAAAGCATCAAAAAATTAACAGATCCAAGATCAAAAAAAAAAAAAAACCAGATCCTTATTCAATATCCCTTTATGTACAACTTCTCTTCCCATGCATATTCCTCCGAAAACAAGGTCTATCTCCCTAAGCCATTCCAAGGAAAGATCAAAATAATGGCATTCAGAATCTTGAATGTTATTGTGGTCATCTTCTTGGTTGGTAGGATAGCAGCTAAAGCCATTGTCTAGGAGTACCATATTGACACAGCTGAAGTTGGCCTTCAACTAATTATGACGACAGGGAACTTTCACCGAGACCCTCTCTCTCTCTTTTTTTTTTTTTTTTTTTTTTTGATCGACAAAAAGAAAATTATTAAGGAGGTACAAAAGCTACCTCAAACCCGTTTACATTGCTAAAACAAGAGAAAGAAAAAGGTTTGGAGGTTAAATCTTCAATTATCCTAACTCATAATCCTTTTATTAACCTAGTTCCTTCCCCTTCTGTTATACAAAATAGTGTCTCACCGATTGGGAACCCTGCAAGCTTCCTTAGGATTACTAAACCAGGTTAGTTAGGATAAGTCCGGGATCCACCTTGATTTAATCCATGAAAAGGAACGGAATTTGATGAGGTCAAACACGTTTTCAAGGTTCAATGTCTCTCCAAAGATGTCTTTGTTGTGGAAAGACATTCTATCTATTGGCAAGGAAAATGATAGAGCTTTCTTATAATTCAATGAGGGATTCTCTCGTCAACTTGGTGATGGAGCCGATACCAGTTTTTGGGAAGACATTTGGCTTGGAACTTCTCCACTTAAATCTGAATTCCCACGGTTGTTTAATCTTGCCAGTCGCAAGGACTCTTCAGTTGCTGACTTAAAGCCAACCCATAGCGGAAATTGGTGTTTTGAATGGCGCAGGGCCCCTTTTGGAAGAGAATTAAATGAACTTGAAATGCTGGTCGACATCATGAGGAATGTTCACATCCCTACCGGCCAACTTGACCATTTTATATCGAGATACTGTGCCTCGGGATACACAGCAAAAAAGGCATACATATTCCTTGATGACTCAAACCCCTGCCTTGATGATAACTACTGCAAACTAATCTGGAATCAGTATGTTCCCCCCAAAGTCAATGTTCTTATCTGGCGTCTTCTTCTCAATCACCTCCCCTCTAAGGAGAATCTTATCCTTCGAGGTGTTGATGATTTATCCAACACAAATTGTGTTTTTTGCAGTGCCCAAACGGAGGATGTCAACCATCTCTTTACTAAATGCAGGAAGGTCCAGCTATTATGGAGCAAAATCTGTCTTTGGTGGGGGTTCTCATTCGTCCCTCCTGATAACGCCTCCTTGCTTATTCTTCAACTTTGTTCACTTCCTGACTCAAAAAAGGCACGGAACTGTTGGATCCCTATTGTCTTAGCAACTGCATGGCTCATCTGGTACTCTAGGAATCGCGTGATTTTCAAATCCATGACATGGGATGAAAACAACCTCGCTGACCTTGTTCAGTCAAAAACCTTTGAATGGATTAAAGGGATCTCCACCTCTGCTGCATTTTCCTTTGGGGATTGGTGTCAATTTCCAATGCTGTGCTCTAAGGAGACTTAACCTTTTCCCTTTTTCTTTCATTCTAATCATGTCTATGGGAGAGTACCCCTTGTACTCAATTTTATAATAAAATTTTAATTCATCTAAAAAAATATCTCCCCCTTGAAAATGAGTGAGTTCCTCCATAGCCAAATAGACCACACTAAAAAAAACCATATAATTGACCAAACCTTTTTGGTAGTTCTTGTATTGACAAGGCCCATATGCTACTTGAGATGGTTCCATCCACCTTCTTGTGCTGCCATCTTAATGCCCCACCAATCATAGCAAAGACATCATATTTTCCATGAGGTTGAGCATGAGAAGAGGATATGTTCTGAAGTCTCAGTCTTATCTCCGCAGAAAAGGCACTTTGTTGCTATTGCCTCCACGATCATTCCCCTTATCAGCAGCTTGTCCTTGGTCGGAATTCTATTCTGTAGGGCTTTCTAGACAAAAGCAAAAATCTTCATTGGCAATTGTTGTCCCAAATCAGCTTGTAGTGGATGTTTAGTCTATTATCTTGACTCTGGTTTATAAATGTGTAAGCTGATCTCGCTGTATATGTGCCTTTAGAGAGTCGTGTTTCTACACCCATTTGTCGTCCTCACCTTGCGTTAGTTGAACTCTGTGTAGCAACGAGAGAAGTTCATGCAACAAGTTAGTTTCCCATACAAAAGGACACCTTCTCAATCTCCAATTCCAGGTCCATTCCCTATTATTCTACTTACCCATATCTACAATGACAGCATCAGCATCTTTATCCCTAGACAAACTAAACAATCTATTGAACTTTTTATATATAGAGTGCTACATATATAGGCACAAATATATAATACAGAACTAGCATTCTCCAGTGTGGCCGCAGTAGCGGCCACGCTTCTCTAAAGTGAGAAGCAAGTGAAATATACTTCGATCTGTAAGTCGAGTCTCAAACTTAACTTTTTTCGAACAGATACTAATCTAATACTGTGTTTCTTTTTATCAAAAAATATATATAATATAGAACTAGTGTATTTGAAAAAAAAAATATTTTGCAATAAATTTTCCTTTTTATGTTCTTCGAAACTTTGATTTTTTAAAAAAATTTTAAAAAATAAAGATTTTATACTTGGGCCAATAAGGGCCTGTAATGTGGGATTTAAACCTTTCTCTTCCTTTAACCTACCATACACACCTTTTGTGCGTTAGTTGTCCAGTAGATCAATTTAAATTTTTAAGAATTTTAAGTAGAGAGAGCAAATTTTCAAGTTGACTTGCAAAAAGGTGTGAAAATGCCTGTAAAATTATTTAAATATTTTAATGAATTCATAATTCCATAATCCTAAGAAATGTTCTAGTCAAATAGCATTCCTAGAAAATGTAAGATATAGTTACAATAGTATTGTAGCTTTATAATCATAACGTGTTATTATATAGTTGGTTCAGTTTTTTTTTTTTATTTAAAGACATATTTGTAATATTATTTGCATATACTATTTAATGATATTTGAACATTTATAAAAGGAAGTCCCTAAGAAAAAAACCTCACCCTCTTTCCACTAAATGTGCAAATTCTTCTCAACATTTTTGAGTTGAAGCAAATTAGCACTCAATAAAAAAATTGGTGTAAATTTCGACTGTAAAATTTTTTTAGAGAAATTTGCTCAAATTTAATAGTTAGTATTAACACAAATTTAGGAATTAAAGAAGGATGGCTAAAATCAAATTTCAAGTTGAATTTGGGGGATGGGAAGTCCATTAAATTCTGGAAAGACGTGTGGGTGAGGGGGGAGTCATTAGCTAACGCTTTTCCTAGACTTTTTTCACTAGCCACAGGAAAAAACTGCAGCATACAAGATATGGGCCAATGGACAGAAGGGTGCTGGAGCTGGAGATTACAGTGGAGAAGAACACTTCGAGCTTGGGAAGAGGACTCACTACAAAAATTGCTTGAGGCCATAAAGGACACAAAGCTGGTGCAAAATGCCGAGGACACATGGAGCTGGAAACTAGCAGATGGGGGTAAATACACTACAAGGTCGGCATATGAGTGGCTTGCTAACAAGGATGAAAGCAAAAAGCTCGATTATAAAAAGCTGTGGGGTGAACAAGTACCATCAAAAGTGATTGCTTTTTCATGGCAAATGCTTTTAAATAGAATCCTTACAAAGGTCAACTTGGCAACACGTGGAATTTTACATGACACTCAAAATATCATGTGTTATTGGTGCGATTCATGCCATGAACATACAGATCACCTATTTCTATCTTGCAAAGTTTCTTACAAGCTATGGACTAGATGTATAAATTGGTGGGGGCTATGTTATGTCCTCGGAAACACATGTATGCAGGTCTTCCACCAACACAGATGGCTAAAGGGCCCAAAAAATCTGAAAAAGGGATGGAACATGATGTGGTATGCCATAGTGTGGTCAACGTGGTTGAGTAGAAATGAAACCGCCTTCCATCAAAAGGTACTCAATGAGGAGAAGTTGTTCAAACGCGTACAAACTTGCTCATTTCATTGGGTTAGAACTCTATTGAATCTAGAGCACATTTCTTTTATAGATTGGATTTCTGATCCAGTGAGATGTTTAATTACTAAGAAATAGAGGACAGGTGGGAAGATAGTTCCCAATTCTTTGACTGGGGTGGCTTTTGTTTTTCTGCTTTTAGACCCCAAAGCTAGTATTTTGATGATCTTATAGATGTATATGGGTTGAGTACCCCTTGTACTCATTTAATATAATTCTTTTGCTATTCAAAAAAAAAAAAAAAGTATTAACTTTTCATTAAACTATTAGTCTTAGAGTCTAAAAAAAGTTGAATCAATTATTAAATTTAAATTGATTTCTTTAAAATGAAATTTTAATGTAGCAATTTGTTTTAATTTTTTTTCTGGATGCTAATTTATTTCAACTCAAAAATATTAAGAGATAATTTGCACTTTCTCTCTCTATTTTTTGCTCAGTATGGCTATAAGTAAGTTGAGTTCAAAGTTCAAACTCTAGCTAAACATAATATATTAGTACTTTGAATTACTCCCTCTATTCATTTTTAGTAGATTTAGTTTGATTTTTTCACTTTTCAAATATGAATTTCAAATGAAAATCGAATATATTATATAAATGATAATTGAAATATTTTTTATCAAATAAAAGTACTCAACAAAAACTTCATATAGGAAGAAAAAACTCTTCAATTGTTATTCATATAAATCATTAAATTTTTATTTAAAATTCATATATGAAAAGTCAAAAAAATTAAATTAGATATATTAAAAATGAATGGGGGGAGTATATGTCTTGTTCCCTAACTACATTTATCAAATAATGTACCAAGAGATTGTCTTGTCTTCTTCATGTTCTTTTTTTTTTTTTTTCTTATTTATAAATAACAATAATCACATTAACTAAAAACAAAGAGTCAGGCATCAAGACTTTAAGAAACTGTTCCCATTGGCATCCTCAATACAAAACGAATTACCTTTTTTTTTTTGAACAGCAAAGGTAATTTTACTATTGGAGTATAAGGATACTCGCTCATTTACATCAATGAACTTGCAAATAGTTGCTTAACCTGGTTAACTTATAAATTCAGCAACCAAACCATTAGCACAGCCAAAAACAACTCGCATCAAGTCCATCCTTCCCAATTCAGCTTGCTTGTATCCTAGTTAAACCACTAGTGCATTCATTAGGTTTCACAATCCAGTCCGTAAAAGAAAAGCTCATTTGCCTTGCTCTCCCTGTTATCCAATGGTAGGATCGAACTTGTACAAGAGCAAATAATTTTTCTTCGTCAATTTTAGTGTCTTTGAAGAGGTATTCATTCCTACCTAACCATATAGTCCAAACAATAGTAAACCATATAATCTCCCACCCTCCACTTTGCTTCTTTCTTTTAGCCATCCCAACATGTTGCTGGAAAGCTTTCTCTAGATTGCAGTCCATAACATAATTCAAGCCCCACCATCTTAAGCATTTTGTCCATAATTTCCATGCATGAATGCAATTAAGTAACAAATGATCCACACTCTCTATGCAAGATCCACACATGTTACATAGTGCTTGAGATTCCTCTTTCAATATTCCTCTAGCTATAATAATATCACACAAAAAGAATTACCTTGTCTATCAGTAATAAGAAAAATACAAAAAGAATTGCCTTTTTTATCAATAATATAAGAAAAATAATAACTTGAATTTATCCCCGTAACATTTGCATTCTTAATGTCGTAACAAAACTACAAAACTAAGCAGGAAGTATATATCTTGAAAACATTAGGGGACACCCACTAAAATTTAATGGATGAAAAGTTCAGGTTGTCACACCAAGTCATGAAATCATTTTCACCTTTTGGATATCTTCTTTTTAATTTTTCATAGTGTCCTCCAATATCTTAATTAGGTTTCCTAGTTCTATTTCCTGGAGCTTAATAATTTTTTTTTAAAGAATGGCTACTAAGTTTTCATTCCATCAAAATTCTCTCAGCGTAAAATAGTTGCTTGTCAAAACAATGATATTGACAGCTCAAAAAGGAAAAAAGCAATGATGATATACATGTAAAGTTATTAACATGATTTGTATGATTCATTAGAAATAAGTCCAAAAACAAATTTTTTATGCCCGTATATCTTTCATATGCTTTTGGTGAATTTGTTTTTTCGGTTTTAGGTGTTTTAACTAACAATAATAAATAGAGAAGACTAAGCATGCCTTCCATGCGGGTTGAGCCAAGTGCAATACCTAACATTCAAATCGTGCAAAAGAGTCTTACATTGTGTTTCACTTACATGACAAGTATAAAAGTAAAAAAATATGATCTTTCAATTTGTTTTTCCTCTTTTCTTTTGTTGAATATAAGAACACATGAGAGCATCTTTTATTTTATGTTTCTCTTTAAAGCTTCATTTAATATAATTGTAATTTTTAGTTTTTAATTTTAATTTTCATAAATTTGACAATAGTTAAAAATCAAAATTAAAGACAAAAAATTGATGATTTATTTAAAACAAGTTTTACTATTAACAACTAATAATATGAACTTAAAAATATAAACTTATTTAGTAATATTAAAACTTTTTATTTCTATTTCTTTACTAGTTATAATAATTTTTTAACAAATAAACATGAAGCTAAACAAGGTTTTTATTTAGAATTGTAAAATTTATGAAAATTAAAATTTAAAACTATAATCATACTAAATAAGCCTATGTTAGTTTTCATCTTTTTTCTTCTTCTTTTTACAACAGAAAGTTAATTATTCGGGATTAAAAGAATTTAAACTTTTAATCTTGATTTCAAATGAAAGAATTTTAATTAGTGATACCTACTTAACCAATCTCTTATTATTGTTAGAGCATGAACAATGAGTGTTTTCTCCATTTGTTCTTAAAAAAAAACAACTTTTCTCTCATTGCTCCACTCATAAAAAGAGCAAAGAGATCGGCTCTCAATTTTTTTTACCCCTTCCAACGACTTGATATATCAATAGTATCATATTAAAAATAAATATTTTTTATTTGAGTTAAATAAAAAAATTTGTTGCATTTTTTTAGAAAACTTTGTTTATGTTTATACATTAGAGGAGTGACACCTTGTTAAATGTTTTATTAAATATACTATTTTTGATATTAAATATATAGAAATATGAGTTGATATAAAATAATATTAATTCTAATGAAATGATATTAACTTAATACTAAAGTAGAGTACATGCTTTTCATTTGTTGAGACGCACATTTTCCACCACGTAAGACAAAATGATTATAATTTTTTCATGATGATTTAGGTACACACAGTTCAAACCATATACATTCCCATATAAATATTAACAGATTACCATATGAGATATCATACATTCCCATAAGCATAAATATAACCCTGCAAAATCTCATTTTAGTGTTTTCATTTCTTTTTGCTCGTCAACAAAATCTGTTGATTGACAACAACTATTCATTTAGCAGCAAGATCCAATGACAACGTAGATAAGATAAAGTCTAAATAACTATTTTCTGATTACAAAAGAATGTTACAGATTTCAACAACAATCTCATATCATTCATCCCCTGGTTTCCATACAAAATCATGATGTAGAGATTAACAGTACTAATATTCTTCATTTGGAAAAATAATGAAAGGGTTAGAATAGTACTTGTTGGGAAGCATATCAGCTTACATTTCAACAACACACGTGCCCATGAGACAGTCCTTAATCATCTTTTCTTCACTATACCTTCAAGAATTCCATCAGCAAAATGGCTGGTAAATTGTGGATGGTTAACAGGACCTGGTAGCTGGAATGAGACAGAGAAGTGTCCTGTAGGGCAAAAGTTTTGTGTTTGCATCTGAAATACTTGAGAGTGCTTGCAAACAATTTTCTCACCAGTTGTGGTTATCCCCTTTATTAATATAGTCCCATCAGGTTCGACGTCACAGCTGAAGTACTCTGCAGTCAAGAGTTAGAAACAACATTTATTAGCTGGAGCAAAACCAAATGTAATAACAGATAGTAATAAGATGATTTCAGTCTTTCCTTGCAAATGAAATTAATTTTTCAGGCAAAATTGATCAACTGAAATGGAGGTTTTAAGGGCATAGGTTAAAAATGCCATGCAAAACAAATATCAAATTAGTTTCTTTCAAGCAGATTCAAATGCTCTGATCAGATATCAAAAGGTACACCTCTTCTTTTTTATAATGGGGGTGGGAAGATTTGGATCCATCTCTATTGAGTGGGAAAATCTCTCATCGAGGATATAACAAAGAAATATGGGGATTAAATAGAGTTGGGTTCAACCCTCCACCCAACACTCCAAAGTTGCAAGTAGATTGAAAAACAGATCAGTGTCTTTTCCTTTCCATGTCCTTGAACATAAGGGGAAAAATATATATATATATATATAAAACAGACCAGAATCACCAGACCAAAGAAATCAAGTTCCTGTAGTATGATGAAGATAATGCAGTTTCTATCCTAAAGGGGAAAGTTAAAAAAATCATTAGCATAACAACTGATCAAATATTTAACATTAGTGAAACTTACTTTCATCCTTTGATACCCCAGGAAGGGAGACACGGAAATAGTATGCATCGTAGGATTCAGCAATGTCTACTGAACCTAGAAGCGGTCCCACATTCCCCATAGCTGCACTACCAGTCAATGCAACACCACTTTGGGTGGTAGCCATCATAGCATCCAACTCATTCCTAGTTGAGTGAGAAGGGAGAAAAATTATAGCTGGACCTATTGTTTCTGCTTCAGTCTCTTTTTTGGTCGAAGAAACATTGTCATGTAATGGTGGACCAGTATATGGAATGCTATTGAGAGGTGCTACAATGAGAACTGGCGGTGTTTCTGGCTCTGGCCTATTATTTTCACCTCTGGTTTTATCCATCCTGCCAGAAAAGCTAAAGTTGTTGAACCCCATCACATATAGCAGTGTTAAAATCCAGATCAAAACGAAACATGGACAAACAAATTCCAAGTTTTATGGAGATCAAAAGTAATAGATATCAGGCTGCCTTCCTCAAACGTGAGGAGGTACAATTAGATCCCTGGATAAACCTTATGTTCGAAATGCTAGAGCTGAAGTTAAAGTTAATGGGAGAACTCATTCAATGGGTTAGTAATTCTAGCTGGCTAAATTCATGCTATCATGTAATTCTTGACCTTATAACCATTCAGACCGAAGACAAAGGAGACCAAAATCAAGTCATAAACATAGATTGCCCCATTACCTACCAATTCATTCACCTTATATATTTGTGTTTTCTAACAACTCTGGAGAGAGCCATTTCTTTGTAATACAATGAAGTCACGATAAGGAAGTTTATAAGAGAAGTTGATACAGACATATCCAAGTTGAGGCTGTAGCCAAATAGCAAAGCAACAGAAGGACACAAGCAATCCAGTTTCAGAAAAAAAAATAAATAAATAAAGAGAGAGAGAGAGAGAGAAGAAGAAGAAGAAGAAGAAGAAGACAATCTAAATGCTAAAAGCAAAACAGAAAGGAGAGCTAGTTCAATGAATCTTGACACAGATCAAATGAGAAACAATATAAGGAAACCAAAAATCAAAAAACTTCAGGAGCATTCTCAATCTTCCTCTTAAATCAGTTCCATTTTCTTTGCTATTGCTGACCTGAGAATTCCTTGTGGAAAGTTAGGCTTACCTATGGAAAGGAAACATCTTATGATTAACATATCTGGCGGTTGGCATTGATGATGTATAGATGTTAAGATTGAGACTTGCAACCTTGACTTATAAACTATATACCATGCCACACATTTTTAACCACCCTTGTTCATTATGCCCCTCTTCATCTAGTTATCTAACTTCCTCAGTCAGAATAGAAGCCAAGGTCAGCTCTGCCTGCCTTCAGGTTTTGGGTTTATTTCCTTGGTAAAACATACTCAGATGCACAAATTAAAACCTTCTAAAAAGGATTATGGTTAGATAGGCATTAAAGAAAGACAAATGGTAGATGTCAGCCAAAAAATAGACATAGACAATCTGAGGACAGTGACTAAGTTGCTTTTCAGTGACAAAATAAATGGAATGTCAGTCAATGTTGTAAGTTAAACCTAAAAGCATATATATTACAGATATATTACTGCTAAACATACATGGACAATCTCCCAATGGCCAACCCCACAAAAAAAAAAAAAAAAAACCTCTCGTAACCATCCACTCACATGTCTGATTCAGCAATTTTATAATGGCCAGTAGTCAGTTTACTTTGGATGAAGCTTGTTTGTGCTATTTTAATAATGAGATACTGGAAACATACAAACAATGCTTCAATCCCATTTCTAATAAATCATTGATATCATGCACTTTAAAGTTGTGAGTATGAAAAAGGAAAAAGAAAAAAAATTAAGGACTGATACACAATCCTGAAAGTAAATAGCAAACTAACAACTATTGCACACATGTACCTAATGCATTACTATTTACTACACAGATTTACCAACATTACTAAGATATCTTAAAATGTTCACATTTTTCTGTTCTTTGTTTAAAAACTCAATTATCTGTTCAAGTTATATCCACTAAAGCAACAGAAAGATACAAACCTACCTATTCGGTTTGAGTGTCAACCACAGGGCCTTTTTTTCCTTTTTCTTTTTTCTTTTTTCTTTAATGTTGTTTTCACTTTTAATTGTCAGGAAGTTTAGTCTTTGTGACATAAAACAAGTCATCATGTCATGGGTTGTTTAGTTCTAAAAGAAGAAATATGCAATGCTTCTACCATTTCAGAGTGTTGGAGAAGCTGACAGCAAGTTTGGGAGGACATGTGTTGACAACATTACCCAAAATTTTTCATAGCAAAAAGAACATAGGCTTGTAGTGCTCTAGAGTTTTAAACTAGGAAAAAGCCCACACAAAAACCCTTAAAAAATTCCCGAATTTGAGTTGTCCTTTGAAATGAAATTCATGCCCCAAAATCAACATCCAGAGATGAGATTACAAAGTCCTAAATCAACCCACCAAGAAAGTTCTCCCCTATGTCTCCATCAGTTAGATTTTTTTCTCTCTTCACTTATCTTGTGTAATAAATGAAAAAAAAAAATGATGAATCCAACAAATCCAAAATATTACCTTCCTTTTCATCCCAACTAGTAAAATAAAAGTAAAAAAAATTTCAAATTACAGATAGAATTAAACAATAATATGAAACATCCCAGCTAAAACAACCTGAAAATCAACTAGCATAAACCAAAAAAAAATAAAAAATCCAATATGACTTCAATAAGCCTGCTTCTTGCCACTCAACAGATCAAAACTAGGATGCACAAGCATATGCACACATGGGTATCAGCATATAGAGCTGTATGGATATGGGGTAATACCTCACTGAAGCAGCCGTCGGAGGTTAACCAGGTATGCGCAAAACTGAGCTGCAACAACCAGTTTCAGGTCAATTGCAAAGTTCAAGTTTTAGAGAATCCAACAGTAATGGGTTAAAATGGGTTTGGTTGCCCTTTTCGTCTTCCCTTTGCCCAAATGTAGATAGCACAGCAAGCTGCAGTAGAGTCACCGGACACTGGAAAGACGGAGGGGAGAGATGGATGAGAAACAATCTGCTGCTGCTGGAGTAGTAAACTCTTCAATTTCATAGGTGGATCCCACTTTCCATTGTAAATTTTAAATCCCCAAAAGGCCCCTAGACACAGGAAGGGGTCCCAGCGTGAGAAGGAAAAATACATTCTTTCGGCCCAAACTTTTGTCAAGTTCTCATCTTGACCACTTAGTTTTTTGTCCATCTCATCTTGGCCCTTGAAGTAATGTTGTTATCATGAAAGCTGTCATAAATTTGCGAGAGAAAAAAAAAAGAAGTAAAAATACATAAATAGATTCAAAGTTAAAGCAATCATATAGCTATAGGCACCAATACATTAAAGGTTTGCACATTTAATGCTTACATTTTATATTTATTTTATTTTAAGATGTTTTGATTAATTGATTCAATCTCATAAAACTATTATCAAATTTTACCTCTTTTATAGGGCTCTAGTAATTACTATTCTTGACAAAGGTCTAATGTAGGGGTGATGTCAAGTGAGCAACTTTGTTAACCTTGGTCCTTGGGCCTATTTCTATTGTTCTGATTAATTGATTCAATCTCATGAAACTATTATCAAATTTTATCTCTTTTATAGGGCTTTAGTAATTAGTATTCTTGACAATGGTCTAATGTAGGGGTGAATTCAAAGGAGCAACTTTGTTAACCTTGGTCCTTGGGCCTATATATATTGTTTCTCAAAATCTGATGACTTATTTGATAATTACATTGCTTTTACGGACCAGTCCAAACAGATAAGTTTTTAAAAGATTAGGGGTCATATCATGAGTTTCCATCAGAGAAGGCCTCTATTTCTCTCTCTAATGCATCAGTAACTCAGCATTGTTGCTTTGCTCACCATAATTTTCTCACCCTCTTAATCCAAAACAGAACAGCGGAAGAAACCCTGCTTTTGGTTTACTTTCTTCAGTCTCACAAACCTTCACTGGTCAGCTTCTCTTCCCAAATGTGTTATATATACTGCAAAATGTTTGTACATTGTAGAATGTGGGTATATGATATGATATATGAATGTTTGCACGTACATAATTTTGGTCAAAGTAGTGATTTTTTTTCTTTTTTGTCTCATGGGTTTGGGAAGAATGAATTATTAGCAATTGTTTGTCTTTACATATGGTATCTTTCTATCTCAGTTGAAGTTTCCTTGGGTTTTTCTTGGTTATAGATCAAATCTTCTTTCTAGAGGGAAAATCATTATCTTTTCAAAGAACTGGACGCCTGTTTCTGGATTTTTTTGTTTTGCCATCATTCTGTGTTTGTTAAATTGCATGTACATTTGGCTGCATGCTTTCTTGATTGCATGTCTGCTTTGGAATTAGACATCTCCGTGGTCTGGATGGGGAATCCCTCTTTGTTTTTAAAAAATTTTGAAGTTTTTTTTTTTTTTTTTTACAGCATTTTTCTCCTTTTGACTTAGTTTTCAATACTCCTGATCATTATAGTACCTGCATTGTTAGATTGCAATAAATTATTTCATTATTTTCCATTTTGGCTTCTGAATCCTATGGAGTGCTTTAAGTACCAGGTGAAATTAGATTTATCAATCACGACATATTGTTGTTTGAATGAACATTCCAAATTTAACTTCAGAAGTCATTTCACAGTCCAATTGTTGGGAATCATCGGAGACCTTTTCTTTGTTCACTCAGTAAGATGGTCCTTTACTTTTCCAAAATAGCTTGTTTGCTGAATAACTCTCAATAAAAAATGTTCCTTTAGTTAAGGGAGTGATTCGGGATTTTCTACATGTCTGTGACTGAAATGAAAAGTTTCTATATGCTGATTACTGAGTCATGTTTCACAAAAGAAGCATATAAATATCTAATTATACATCTGTTTCTGGTTTCTCTCTCTTTCTCTCTCTCTCTCTGTTTACTTTACTTTGCTCTGTTGGTCAGTATATTTTTAATAATTTTGATGATAATTATAGCTCAACAGCCTCAATTTTGGGAGTTTCAAACATTAAGAACACTGAAGATGTCCTCGCAGAGGGACTCTCTATGATTGTGTAATAGAACTTGGAATATGTTTGCTATCATGAATGAATCAAGAATGATGAATGGTGGAATGAAGTATCTACAGTGCTTATTATGCTGATAGAATTGGTTGGAGTGGGAACACTATTAGGTTACTTTAGTGATGGTATAGGGGTGGTTACATTGGATATTGGAGTTCTGTTGCATTTTTTCCGTAGGGAAGATGATGATGTTGTGCTGGTGATGAGAAAGCTGTAGAACTGTTTGTCCTGGCAGGCTGTTGGCTTCTAATGTACTCTAGGCTGTAACCTTAGATGAAGGTGACAGTTTGTGATATTATGGTGAGTGTATTGGATTTAATCATTTTCAAAGGGTCTATGGTGATAGAGGTGGATATCAGACCAATTTGATGAAAAAAATACTTCTACTCTAATTGGGAGAAAGAAAAATCTATGTTAAGAAGCTAACTGGAATTAGTCTAAAGAATCTAGACAAATGTACGTGCATGCAAATGACAATGTCATATTAGTTGAAATTGTTTAACGGAGTGGAACGACTCTAGCACATGCAGAAAATATTGCCCAGATACAGTGTTTTCCCGTTTTAATTGAAACCTTTTATTCTTCTGCTACTTACAGCCCTGCTGTTTTCTATATAAGAATGATGTTCTCTCAAATTTATTTGGTAATTTTTCTTGAGCTTCATTGCTTCTCTTGTTGTGTGGAACCTACATCCTATTTCTTTTATTTTCTATTGCTCTTACCAGGAAATTTATATCTGCTCTTTGTGCAGCTTCCATGAGAATCCGATCTCAGACTAGAGCTTCTCTAACTGCCACAATGGTTGGGTCCAGTGACATGGTGAGTCCGTTGATGCCAAATGATCCATACAATGCAGCACTGCAGGAGGCTGAAACTAATGGAGAGTTGCCTCCCCTTAAATCTCCTCGAGGCTCAAAAAGAAGAAGACAAGTTGCTAACCTGCTGGAAACCAAGGATCAACACATTCAAGATCTGGTACCTAGCAATAGTATGCCATTCACCAATGCCCTGACATGTAAAGCTCCAGCTCAAACCCAACATGAACTGGATGCTTCAGAGAAACATAGCCCGACAATTGTATTTCTTCAATCTCACCCAACAATGCAGGAGTTGGCTGATATTGTAGCTGCTACTAAAACAGGATTTGCATTGACTGGTAGCGCAGCATTGGGGAATGTGGGACCGATTATAGGACAAATGGATATTGGAGAATGTGAAGACTCTTACCTGTTCCGTGTGTCTCTTCCAGGGGTGAAGAGAGATGAAAGTAAGTTGTATATTATCGCTTGGTAGTTATTACTTATTCATTAGTGCTTTCCCAAATTAGCTCTGATCTGAGTTGCATTTATTTTTAATGAAATTCATGAATCATGCCATTGAGATCATTCTATCCTGTTCCTACAGCAAAGATGGAACTTAATATGTGCACTCTCCTGTTTATTGTATTTCTTTTTCTGTCCATGTCTTTTCTTTTCTTCTTTTTCCTTTGTGCTCTGGGGTCAGAAATGATTCAGTTAACACAACTGGGATCAAGGTCATTCCAGAAAAGTGATAGCCTTTACATGTTGCTGATTTCCTATTACTTCTTATCGGATCCCACCACTGATATGTCTTTTGGTTGACATTATTATCACTATATAGATGACAAGTATTGTGGCTTGATTATGACTGCAGGAGAATTTAGCTGTGAAGTTAACAATGATGGCAAGGTCTCCTTAAGGGGAGTGACAACTACTGGCGAGAAAAGAGTATACCGATACTCTCAAATGTTTGAAATGCAATCACAGAACCTTAACCCACCAGGACATTTCTCAATCTCATTTCAGCTTCCCGGGCCAGTTGATCCTCAGCAATTTTCCGGTAGTTTTGGCACTGATGGGATTCTAGAGGGAATTGTGATGAAAAGACCAACTAATTGATATCTAGGCAAGCCTTCTTTAGCCCTTCATCTGATGTAGTAACCGATCACTCTGAACTCAGTAGTTGGTACAGATTTTCTGATTCAAGGGTCCTATAATGGCTATCATCTTTTCGCCTTGAGATTTTAGATCATTAGATATTTAATCAAAATTGTAATATAAAAATACTCTACCCCTTGTGCATGAGTAAGATATGATCAATGGTATTGAAATGTAAGGATTCATTTACAGAAAAATGCTTGACAATGATTTGATTGGTCTGGTCTTGTTTGCAGCATTATAGTGATGACATGGATGAGACTGAAAATAATCAAATTAAGCCTTCCATGCAAGCCTCTGACAATGTCAAGTTCTGCTTCACTCAAATTAACTTCCAGATATCATTCTATGGCATGCAGTAGCTCAGAGACGCATGTTATGGAAACATTTGTCATCTGTGTTTTATGCATAACTGAAAATCATTTAAGCTTCTTTGTCTCTCAGGTTCAAGGCAAGTATCAAATTGACTTGCTGGTTCCAACAGAAAATTCAGAAACATGTTTCCTGCAAATATACTAATCACTAATACAATCTCTTATGTGGGCTATGGCTGTAAATCGCATTATCAAAGCAACCATAACATTTTGGCTAATAATAACATGAAGATAGAAAAAATATATAAGGGAATTCTACTACTAAATATAAACCACTGATTAATAGATACAAGCCAGTTAAATGCCTTCAAAGGTAATCTTCAATTTGTGGATATCTGGCTGACCAGGACCAGTAAACAAGATAAAAGGAAAGCCAAGGAAGAAATAAAAGGGATACAGGACAGTTGGGAGGCACTGTTCTCAAAATAATATTTACATACAATCTATAATTTTTCAACAGCTAGAAGCCTCTCCTTATTCCATTTCGCTGGCATTCGTAAGCCGCCTTGATGAACAACTACTCTGTAACCAATTGAGGAAGCAAACCAATGTAAACAAAAGAAATTGATAAGAACAACAAACATAAGAGGAGTTATGCAGAATAAGGTGGGTGCAGTGTTGATCCCAAAATGTTTCAAGGAAATTCCTTCTCTGTTTTTCCTGACCGAAATGAATTAATCTTTGAGAAAACAAACACAGAGAAGCCTTTCCAAAGATCATGACAAGTGTGATAAGAAGGACCACTAAGAATGAAAAACTAGTCAAAAGAATTTACAATAATTAGCTCCATGGAAATCATTATGAGCTAAGTGCTTGAGGATTGAAAATAACCACCCATAATTTACTAGCAATAGAAGAAACAAGAAAGAAAAAAAAAAAAAGCTTTTACTCATGGGAAGCAACAAAATTGTCCCTTAAAAGATGTCTCATCTTAATGTTTAGAGCTTGAGACATTCAAGTTAGGGGTCTTAGGTTTTAAACCTTGGGAAGGGTCGGGAGGCATTTGGGAAGGGGAAGAGTTATCCTTGACATATAGCTCACAATCAGATGTAGCCAAAAGAAAAAGGTTAAATAAATAAAGGAAAAATAAAGAAAGAAAGAGAAAGGAAAAACTATTGAACCTTTGCAACATCTGTCGAAGTATATTCTGAGTAAGTAAAGGCAAGAAAGTTGCAGGTCGAATGTAAAATGCCAAATTACTTGAAAATATACAACACCTTACCTTCTTAACTTACATGCTATAGCCACTAATGATTCGAAGATGATTGCTGTTGCTCTTGACCCTGTGGCCAGATCTGCTGTGCCATGTAGGGATGAGACTGTTGAGCATACATAGCAGGGTCCATCACAGGCTTGCCCATGATCATCCCAGCAGTTCCAACTGGAGGTGCATGCTGAGCAGGCATATAGCAGTATGGAAGACCATCAGCGGGGCCCCCAACAGGCACTGTTCCCCTTGGGATTGATGCAAGTACTTCATCTTTCAGATCCTCTCTTGGAACAATGTCAACTAAAAAGTCAAAAATATCAGTCCTAGTGATTGCGGCTGCTATATCATTCTTTTGAAGAGTCCTCCTTTTGTTTTCTTCAGTGTGGTTCCAAGAACGCAATGTCAATTCCAAGATGAACATTTCACATGCCCTGGCAAACACAACTGGGGCCTCAGCCGAAATCATTCTCACATCTTCATCAGCCTTCATGATCTTCTTGATCCTTGCTAGGGGAAGGGAATGGTTCCTGAAATCATTGACTCTCTCAATCTCCTGATACTGTTGTGCCCAGAAAGTCTGAAGCTGTTGCTGCAGCTGCTGTTGCTGCTGGTGGTGGATTTGCTGATAACCAAGCTGGTGAGCTCCTGCTGCCTGCCCGGTTGATTGAATTGCCCCCACTGATGTTACAACTGGCCCTGGATTTGAGCCAGTTGTTTGATTCTGATAGGGGTTTGCAGCATAAGTCATTTGAGCTCCAGCACCAGAAACCCCCATAGGCTGGCTATGCCCTTGCGGATCCATCCTGATTCATAGGAACCAAAATGAAATGTCTCTGCCTCTGAATGTCGAATGATTACAATCCTAAACTAAACCATGGACGTAAAAGGACTGCAGCTTAAGACTACAAACCCGCACTAGAAAATAGAAATTCAAAGCTATGGACTCATCAAAACTCTAACAAAAATTGGAATGATCATTCTTTGCCAGAACATAATTTAATTATTTTATGTCTTCAAATTGAATGTTTTAACTATTGAAATTGAGATTATAAAGAAAAGCATTTAAAAGTAGACATTTGTTGCTTCCATTGGAATAATAGACACCACCTAATAATTTGTGTGATATCAGTCTACTTTTACAGGGTAAAAACTAAAAAGTGTATGAAGATATGCACCGTCGAATTGTATCCAAATTATGCATTACACCAATCAAGAGCAAAACAAATACAATAAATAATGCTTTCAATATCAAATGCTAAGAACGATGAGCTTTCATCAATCAATTAAAGCCAAAGTTTAAACAGCAACAAGGGATTGTTTGGTATAGCGGTTTGAAAGAAGCCACACAAGCACGCAACAAAAAGGGGTGAAAAACAAGAACGAAAAACAACCATATGCAATCCGATCATTCTCATCAACATTTCCTAGACCTAATCTTATGCATAAACAGAGAAGATGGGCATTGTAAAAGGGAAACAAGAAAAGTTAGTACCTTTACAGGGAAATACTGTTCTTTGATTGCGAGACTAAGGAGAAAACAGAAAGCAAAAGATCACAGGGAAGCAAAGAAGATGCAAAGAAAAATAATGGGTTTAAGACTTTTGAGGAGAAATTTTCTCAGGCGGTGGAAAGATCCGATTTTTGGAAATTTTCTAGGGTTTAGAGATGAGAACTTCTGCAATGAACACCGTCTCTGTCTAGGTAGCAAGGAACACGAGAAACTTGTAGAAAATGGACAAAAGCTGAGGTGTTATGTGTTCGACTCTGACACATGATGTCAATATCACACCTACCCCAACCATTTTGCTGTGTCACCACCTCATAGGTTTATAAATAGAAAAACTTATACAATTATATTGCCTTAAAAAAAAAAGTATAATTATATATT